CTGCTTCTCCTCTAAATGCCCCCATTTGGAAAGCCCCTTGTCCTGAGCTATATAATCTTTGTCCTAAACTCCACTTTAAGGGGAAGTAGCCTGTACCCAAGAGTAAAAAAGCTTGCTTTTAACTAATTGTGTGCTTTAATTAATCTGGGCTCTATGATTTGGGTCAGTGGTCTTTCCTCCTCACATCTTTGGGATTAACTAATAACCTCGCTCTACAAAGACCCCGTCTCCCCTTGCAGTCTCCTCATACTCCGCCCCTACCACACTCTGTTTCTTTCTCTGTAGTTTAGCCTCTGGGGTCATATAGAACTCCCACACTGCATGCTGGGATGGGTGGTCAGGCTTCTGCTGTGACTCAGTGTGTCTGAGATCTCTGCACGTTGTTGCAGGCACCCCTCTCCCTTCCCCTCCTCTTGCTTCAATACTCCTGGGGGTTTTTGTGCTTACAGCCATAGGGCCTTCTACATGCTAAGCACATCACTGAGCCCACGTCTTTGTTTGCTTGCTTGCTTGTTTTTCTTGTTTGTTTGTGTGTGTGTGTGTTTGCTGTTATTGTTTTATTTTTAATGTTTCTAAGATTTATTTATTTTATGTATGTGAGTACACTGTTGCTCTCTTCAGACACACCAGAAGAAGGCATCAGATCCCATTGCAGATGGTTGTGAGCCACCATGTGGTTGCTCGAAATTGGACTCAGGACCTCTGGAAGAGTAGTCAGTGCTCTTAACCGCTGAGCCATCTCTCCAGCCTGGCTTACTTGGTTTTGAGGCAGGGTTCTCACGCTGTAGCCCAGGCTGGCCTCAAACTCACAGCAATCCTCATCAGCCTCCCCAGAACAGCATGACTGGCGTGCACTGGCACACCCAGCTTCCAGGATTGCCTCTCGCCAGTCCTCAGCGACAGTCCGACGTGCAAGGGAACTCCACAGATACATGGTATTCCCATTATTTCTCAAAAGTCTGGGGCACACACAGATTTGTGTGTGTACATGTGTACTGTTAGTTTTATGTCAACTTGTGCACAAACTATAGTCACCAGAGAGGAGGGAGCCTCAACTGAGAAAATGCCTCCATAAGATCCAGCTATAGGCAAGCCTATAGGAGCACTTCCTTAATTAGTGACCAATGGGGGAGGAGGGACAGGCCCATGGCAGGTGGTGGCATCCCTGGGCTGATGGTCCTGGGTTCTACAAGAAAACAGACTGAGCAAGACACAAGGAGCAAGCCAGTAAGCAGAACTCCTCCATGGCCTCTGCCTCAGTTCCTCCCTCCAGGTTTCTGCCCTGTTTGAGTTCCTGCCCTGACTTCCCTCAGAGGTGAACCGTGGTGTGGAGCTGTAAGCTGAATAAACCCTCTCCTCCACTGGTTGCTTTTGGTCACAGTGCTTTATCTCAGCAGTAGTAACCCTAACTAGGGCAATATGGAACATTTTTTGGGGGGTTGGGGGAAACACAAGTTCATATCTCTGGGCCAAACATGTAGGCATCAGATGGCTGGGTCACATGACAGATGCCTCTTTCTGTTTCTGAACGACTCAGTTTTCCTAGGCTGGGCTGACACACAGTCCTGCTACCAGCGTGTGCGCTCTGGAAGCTTTGCATCTTTTGTTGGATTCACTATCATCAGTTTTTAAACAGTTTGGGGCTGGAGAGATGGCTCAGAGGCTCAGTGGGTGAGAGCACTGGGTGTTCTCACAGAGGACCCACGGTTTCTTCACTAATGCTTACATGGTGGCTTATACCTGTCTGTAACTCCAGTCCCATGGGATCTAATCTCCTCCTTCGGCCTCTCAGGGTACCAGGCACACAAGTATACAGACACACACAGGCAGGTAAAGCATCCGTGAACGTAAGATAAAAGTAAATGTAATAAAATAATTTGTTTAAAGTTAACATCTTCAAAGCCGAGTATGGTAGCACGTGACTACATTCATAGTACAAATGAGGTGGAGACAGGAGCATCTGGGAACTCAGGAGCACCTGGGAGCTCAGGAGAATCTGGGAACACAGGAGCATCCGAGACTTAAGAGCATCTGGGAGCTCAGGATCACCCAGGACTAAGGAGCATCTGGGAGCTCAGGAGCATCTGATAGCTCAGAAGCATCCAAGACTCAGGAGCATCTGGGAGCTCAGGAGCATCTGGGAGCTCAGGAGCATCCGGGACTCACTCAGGAGAGTTTGAGCTCGGTCTGTATCCCCTGAGACCCTGTCTCAAAAGTAAAGACTAAAAAGGTGGTAGGTGATCCAGGAAGGCCCTGAAGTTGACTTCTGGCCTACACATGCATGCACGCATACCACACACATTGGTCTACTGTTTTTCCTGTTGGGTTTTGAGTTCTGGATCTCATACAGGGATACAAGGTTGGCTGGGTAGAGAGCCAGTAATGACTGTGTCCAGATCAGCCTTGGTGGATTCTTGTCATGAGTCTATGTGAGCACAGGATGAAGGTAAGCTAGGGTGAAAAATGCCAGCTAGCGACCTCTGCATGATCTGCCCTCCGGAGCACACTGAACGGGGGGACCCATGTCCTCTCCGGACATGATCCAATTCTCAGGTCCTTAGCTGCTTCCCAACCCCTGTCTAACTTTCTAGACTTACAGCACCCCTCCCCCACTCACTGAGCCATGCCCCAGATCCTGCCTCTCTGTCTGGTGGCACTCACATTCTCAGTGACATTGTGCCCTTTGTGTCCCCATAAGAGTACTTGCCACTGGATTCAGGGTGATGTAGGATCTCCTTATTCAAAGTTTCTAGGGATAGGTGGAAGTAAATACGGTTAAAACAAGAGAGAGAGACATTGTTTATGGGCAGGAACGATGGCTCAGTGGATAAACACGACCCGGGTTCCATCCTCAGCACCCCCATGGTGGCTCGTAACCGTCTGTAATTCCAGTTCTAGAGTTCGCAGACACACATGCAGGCAACACCCATACAGATTAAACAGAAATAAGAAAATATTTTTAAAAATGTATGAAATTCTTGGGCTGAATAAAAATATATTTTAGAAGTTTCTTCAACAACAACAACAAAAAAAAAAGAAGGAAAAACAAGCTGGGTGGTGGTGGCACACGCCTTTAATCCCAGCACTTGGGAGGCAGAGGCAGGCGGATTTCTGAGTTCGAGGCCAGCCTGGTCTACAGAGTGAGTTCCAGGACAGCCAGGGCTACACAGAGAAACCCTGTCTCAAAAAAAAAAAAAAAAAAAGAAGTTTCTTAATTAGATATTTCTGTAGAGACACCCACACCCACACTACCATGCACAGGTTCTGGGTTAGTGGGTAGTTAGAGCATGTGGAATTCTACCTCTTATGATGCCTACCTTTTGGGGAGCCCTGAGTGGGGCCATGGTACCCCCTCAAACACTTGCTCTTGTTGCCGACCGTCTAGAGCAAGAGGGGTCCCCAGTCATGTGTCCGCAGAGATAACCAGGATGTTGATCTACTTAGTAAATGCTGGCTCCAACCTCTGTTGTCTAAATCGGAACCCCAAACTTTTAGCAATGTCTCATGGTAACCTAGGCTGGCCTCGAATGTGGAATAACCCTCCTGTCTTAGCCACAAAAGTACTGGGATTACAGATGTGAGCGGCCACGCCCACTCAATGTCCAGTGTTGTTTTCAGTTTTCTCTCTTGTTTTTTTTTGTTTGTTTGTTTTGCCTTGTTGTTGTTGCTGCTTGGTTGGTTGGATTTTTTTTTTTTTTTGAGACAGTGTTACACTATGTGGCTCTGGCTGTCCTGGGACTTGATCTGTAGATCAGGCTGTCCTTGAACTCGTAGAGATCTGCCTGCCGCTGCCTCTCAAGTGCTGGAATCAAAGGCTGTATGCACCAGCATGCTTTTAAAGGCCAGCTTCAAAGTACAGTTTTCAAATATGTCTGTGATTTGTGTGTGGATGATTTGTGCCTGTGTTTGTGAAAGAGTGTGTGTGTGAGAGTGTGAGTGTGTGAGTATATAAGTGTGTGTGTGTGAGTGTGTGTGTGCCATCGCACAAATATGGAGGTCAGTCCTCCCCTTACACCTTTCTTTTCGTGGGGGGCAGGCCTCTTGTATGTACTTCAGAAGCCAGTCTTGATGACTTGTAAACTCCTGCCGAATGTTCTGTCTCCAGCTTCCAGGTTGTTTTACCTGAGGCCTGGGGATTTGAACTTATGCCCTTAAGCTTGTGTGACAAACGTTTATCCGCTGAGCCATCTCTACAGCCTAAAGCCTGTATCATATCTTAATTTGCTCCTGACTTCGGGGTTATAAAGGGTTTATTCTTTCATGTATACTTTCTGGATTTTTTTTTTAGTACTTTATACCAGCCATGCAATTATCTAAAATAAAATCTGGGTATATATGGTTTATTTCGTTGGTTTTTAAGACAGGATCTTATGAAGCCTCTCCTTGTCCTGATCTTCTTCCTATTCCAGAGTGCCGGGATTACAGGTGTGAGCCATCACATTCAGCAGGGGGAAAAAAAGAAATCTGCGATAAAAACGGAAACTAGAGGCGAAAGGCTGTGTGTTGTACACACTGGTAGCTCCGTTGCGATTGGGGAATGAATTTTGCTCTTCTGTATTGCTGCGGGGGTTATTGCACTAGCCCACGGTCCTCGCAGACGGGATATTTCTAGCCTCTACCCTGGTCTTGTCAGTCGTTGACTGGAAGACCAAGGCAAGCCACAGTCAAAACTTGCGGAACCTCGGGATAGAGGGGTGGTGGTGCTGCCGCTGGTGGGAGGTGGAGGTCCCCAAGGGTGACTAGGGGTGTAGAGGACAGAAAGCGTTTTTGCCGCTGGAATCAGCGGAAGGAACGTGACAACCGCGGCCCCACCCCTTCCTCTCCTAGACCGCCCCTCTGAGCTCGCTGGCCCCGCCCCTCTCAGGCCCGCCCCCGAGCGCTGGCGCTGGCCGCGGTGCTGAAACGCGTTCGGCAGAGCCTGCCGGGCGGGGCCTGCGAAGGGGAGCGGGAGGGGTGGGCAGGGCGGCGGCGCAGGCCCAGACCCTGGCCGACTTGGAAGAGGCGGTAGACTCGAGCCCATCCTGGTTAGGGCGGACACGGGCGTCTGGGAAGCGTCTCTTGCGAAGCCAAGGTTGACCTTGGCCTGCTGCGCTCCCAGCTAGCTGGGGGATGCTCACTTTGCGCCCTGACCTCAGGCTGCTCCTCTCACCAGGCTGAGGACTGACCCACGACCCGGCTCTTCCGCCTCCTAGAGCTGTAGACCTTCACCCAGCCAGTACCCCCGTGCTAGCCCAGAGGCCTTCGCCATGGTGAAGTTGTTGCCAGCCCAGGAGGCCGCCAAGATCTACCACACCAACTATGTGCGAAACTCGCGCGCCGTGGGAGTGATGTGGGGCACGCTCACCATCTGTTTCTCGGTGCTGGTCATGGCCCTCTTTATCCAGCCCTACTGGATAGGCGACAGTGTGAGCACGCCACAGGCTGGCTACTTTGGCCTGTTCTCGTACTGTGTGGGCAACGTGCTGTCGTCGGAACTCATCTGCAAGGGGGGCCCTCTGGACTTCTCCTCTATCCCCTCCAGAGCCTTCAAGACTGCCATGTTCTTCGTGGCCTTGGCCATGTTCCTCATCATCGGCTCCATCATCTGCTTCAGCCTGTTCTTCGTCTGTAACACAGCCACGGTCTACAAGATTTGCGCCTGGATGCAGCTGGCTGCGGGTGAGCAGGGTTGCTGGGGGGCGGGGATGGGGGACAAGTGGGGCGTACTCGGGGTACAGCTGCAGCTTTCCCATGAAGGGGAAAGCTCTGGACCTTCTCCTACTCAGTGTTCCACAAAAGATTCCGAGTAGAGCTCAGGTTATACTCAGTAGAGGCCAAGGCCATAGCAGACCAGATTATAGGTGCAAACACACATGCCTCGCACCTAGAATCCCAGCACCTGGGAGATAGAGACAAAAGGACGGCTGTGAGTTCCAGGCCAGCCTGGGCTACAGTGTGAGACTCTGTCTTGAGGAAAATCTGAGACTCTAAGAAAGAACGAGTCAGGGACCAGGAGATGGCTCAGCTGGTAAAGATGCTTGCAGCTGAGTCTGACGACCTTGAGTTCAGCTTCCGGGACCCACATTCCATGAAGAACAGATTCTGTCCAGTTGTTATCTGATTTCCCTGTGGCATGTGCCTACATGAGCACATGTCACACACACACACACACCTAAAAGTAAAAGAAGTGTGTGGGGGCTATGCCGAGGCGGAATGGGGTCCAGGCTGTAGAGCTCCTGAGCCAGAGAGAAGCGACTTAGAGGGGGCACATAGCTCTCCATGGCACAGTCAGGTGTACCAACCCCCAAAACACGACACCACAGGCGTGCGCACTCACAAGGAAGAGGAAGGCTATTGCCATGTGACCTAGGATGCAACCCCAGGGCTATGGTGATGGCCTCACTCCCTGCCTTCTCCCCCTCCTCACCTCCAACTGCTCTTGTGGAAGAGTCCAGGACTTTGGAGTGCCGCTGTTATGCTGGCTGTGATCTCTCTCTCTTTCATTGTGGAATGAAAGTCTTCATTCCTGGATTCGAACTCCGTCAGTAATTAGGCCGCTGTTTTGGAAGGTGGTGGCGCACGGGCTACCTGGCGCCCTTTAACACCATGTCAGGTAGGCAGCTGCTTGTGGGGTCCCAAAGCAAGGCATTTCCTGCCTGCTTCCCTGCTCCAGGCTCAGGTGACCCTCTTGGTCCTTGGGACAGCTGGTCTTGGTCTCCATTGGAGCTCAGGAAGAGACAGCCTAGCACCTGTCAGCAGCCTTTGGTCTCTTAGTCCCTGACGTTCTACAGATGTCCATCAGCAATGGTGGGGCTGGACACAGGAGACACTGTCTGGACATTGCTGGGTAGGGTAGCATTACCCTGGTTGGGGTCAGAGGGTGGTGAATAACAGCTGTCTGAATCTCAGCCAGGCAGAGCTGGAGGGGACCGCAGCTGTAGATGAGGGATTGGAATGGCAGAGAGGGTTAGAGCCGGCAAAGGCTGTAGCAGACCGGCTGGCAAATCAGAGCCTGGGACAATTAAGAGTCCCCCACCCAATTAGATGCATTACAAGACCTTTTTTTTTAAAAAAAAATTGGGAACCATATTTTATAAGCATGATTCACAAAAGACTTCATTTTCTGATGAAACCTCATCACAACCCAGTAGTGAGTGTTCCTGCGTTTGCAAAGTTCAGACTTATTGGTGAGTGGTTAGCTAGTAAAGGGAGACCTGATTCCCAGTCTGACACCTGGGCCTGAGTTCCTCCCCCGGACCCCCATCTCCAAGCCTTAGTGGTCAGGAGGGGACAACAGGCCATGATGGTCATATCAGGAAGGGGCAGTGAAGACTGAGTGGGGTGGATATGCTTGCCAGCTTGCCTTCCACCTCAGGGCTCTGGGATGTGCAGACACACCATCCTTTCTTAGAGCTGTCTCTCTCCTGCCTGCATTACCCGGCAGGTGTGCCTGCTGCGTGGGACAGCAGGAGGAAGGCCTGGGTGGAGGATCACCAGGCCATTTGAGCCAGATGCTATCTGGGTCACAGAGCTGAGGGCAGAGGTGGCTGTCTGCCATCCCATGAAGCATTTATGGGGAACAAGGATGAGGGTGGTGTCGTGTTCCACTCGGTGTCAGGGAGGAGGGCTGAGCAGGTGTGCCTCATGGCCAGCGACTGGGGGATTCGTCTGTTAGCTCAAAAATTCCCACAAAGCCAGAGGGTGGGGGTGGGGTGGAGTTGGGAGAACAGAATTGATGCCCCTGAGAGGTGGGGGGACTGGAGCTTAAAACAACGGTGGAGCTCGGGGTGCAGGCTGAGTGTGGGCTCAGTTGTTTGCCCCGAATCTTGGCAACCTCCTGTCTTAGTGAAATTATGTTATTATACAAATTCCCATAGATGAAGCGTCCTGAACACAGACATTTCTTTCTCTCTCGTGGCTCTGGAGCCTGTGTGAGTGAGGTCAGGTGTTGGTACAGTGTGGTTCCGGTGAGGGTCATCTTCCAGGCATAGATGCTGACTTCTTGCTCTGCCCGCAAAGGATGGAAAAGGCAGGAAGTCTCTCTGGGCTCCCTCCTATAAGTGTGCTAATCCTGAGTATGGGGGCTTGATCTCCTAAACGAATTACTTCCTGTCTTACTTAGGGTTTTACTGCTGTGAACAGACACCATGACCAAGATAATTCTTATAAGGACAACATTTAATTGAGGCTGGCTTACAGGTTTGGAGGTTCAGTCCATTATCATCAAGGCAGGAACATCCAGCAGGCATGGTGCAGGAGGAGCTGAGAGTTCTACATCTTCATCTGAAGGCTGCTAGGAGCAAACTGACTTCCAGGCAGCTAGGATGAGGGTCTTAAAGCCCATATCCACAGTGACACACCCACTCCAACAAGGCCACACCCACTCCAACAAGACCACAACCACTCCAACAAGGCCACACCTCCAAATAGTGCCACTCCCTGGGCTGGGCATACTCAATCCACCACTTCTCCCAAAGTCCCACCTTCTGATACCGTCACTTGAAGGGTTAAAATTTCCAACATACAGCTTTTGGGGGATTCGAATTATTCAACACAACACACATCATCTGTCGCATGCAGCGTACCCCATCCCTTGGAGATCCTGTGACGAAGAGCTGATGATATTATGCATGATAAACGTCCTGTAAGTGTTTGGCAGATGTGGGACCCACAGGCAGGGGGAAACAAGAACTTGGAGCTGCGGTGACCTGCAGGACAGCTCCCTTGCTGTCCTTTTGTGCCCCCTGGCATCACCGAAGCCTCTGCTTTCACTGGTCTGGGTTGTGTTTGGTGTCATTACTGCAGAGGGACAGAGCATGGAAGGTTCCTGAGGAAAATGAGAAGCTGGGGGTAGGGCTGGCCCGTGGGTTCATTAGGTCGAAGGTCCTGAATCGTGAGGCGTCCTGTGACAATGCTCATCAGAATGACCACCTACCTCGACATTCCGAGTAGCTCAGAGGTGGAGAATGAGCAAGGTCTCTCACAAGAGATGCATCTTGGGTGGGATGAGATGCTGGAGGGCTCTGGAGCCAGAGTAGGCGGTGCCTTGCTGAGTCCAGGGTGGGACTGGGAGAAGGACGGGAGGCCACTTGGTGTGGGGCTGAGGCACCAGCCTGGCTGAGGAGCCCCGCCTCTGCATCCATCCTGACTGCTGGTTCTCAGTGCCCTAGCTTTGTGAGCCTCCGCTTTTCCACTTGCATTTTACATAGAAGAAGCTGCCCTTTGTGTTTCCCGCGGCTAACCCAGAGACCGGGGGGTTGGGGGGGAACACAAGGAGCTTGGGGTGTGAGGAGGTAGCTGGGGTCATGCACAGCCTGACGCCACTGGTACCCTCTTGCCTCCTTAGCCACAGGCCTGATGATCGGATGTCTGGTCTACCCAGATGGTTGGGACTCCAGTGAGGTGCGGCGTATGTGTGGTGAGCAGACGGGCAAGTACACGCTGGGCCACTGCACCATCCGCTGGGCCTTCATGCTGGCCATCCTCAGTATTGGCGATGCGCTCATCCTCTCCTTCCTGGCTTTCGTGTTGGGCTATCGGCAGGACAAGCTCCTCCCCGACGACTACAAGGCAGATGGGAATGGTACCGGTCTTCCTTCATAGGGATATCCTTCCCTGGGGCTGCGGGTGGAGAGGTGGGTGCAGTGGCGGCTCTCAGAAGCCAAGTGTGTCTAGGCCCCTTGAGTTAAGACCAGCAACTATGCCTGTCCTCCCTGAGAAAGGCCATCAGTGGAGTGTTGAAAGCTGGCAGGCTATTCAGAAAAGATCTGTGAGCAGGAGACAGTCCCAATACAGCTGGGGGAGCTACATGGGGTTCCTCCGGGAAGCATGGAGGCTGAGTTAAGTCATGGGGGTTGGCAGGTAGAGAGGATGGTGAGGAAGAAGCATGAGCTGCTGGGGAAGGTTGTGCCTGGTAATCTGTGGTGATCTTAAAACCACGGTGGTGCTGAACGGACAGCTCCCACGCCCCTGTAGTGAGGGCTGCTCTCCAGTCAGGTACTGCTGATGCCAGGGCATGGGCATGGGGTGAGGCACTCTGGGAAACCTTCCCTAACACTTCACTTTGGACTCCTGCTGCCTGGGATTTTATGCCTGTTTCCATTTGGCCCGTCCCTCCTTCCAATTGACCTGAGGGGCTTTTCCAGTGTCTGTCAATCTAGCCAGGGAATCAGTGCCTATCTTACAGCCTCAAGATTCCCAAATGCTGTTGCTAGCAGGTAGCCACCATTACACCTGAGGCACCAGCCATCTGAGAGAAAGTTCCATCACATCAGACCTTGGACCTGGACTAGAGGCAGTGGCAGCCTCTTACCCCCTGTGGGCTCCAGGGCCAAGGACACTGCATAGGAGACACTTGGAGGCCCAGAAGCCAGGCCTCCTCTAGCTGAGCCTGAAGCCCACCCATCTCTGTGATTGGTGATAGGGGATTGTACACTGCCAGAGATGGATGAGATATCTTTCCTTCACAGGGGCTCTTGAAGCTGCTGGGTCCCCCAAGAACCCTACTTAGGGAAAGAAAATGAAGCGTAAATAGAAACCACGGTTCAGTGAGGAAGGCAGAATTACCAGAGATGCAGCCGTCTTCTTGAAAGCCAACAAGAGCTCTTTAGAAAGAGGAATCCGAGTGCGTGGGAGGCCGCAGGGGGAGGAATGAAGGCACAGGACTTTAATCCCAGCACTCGGAGGCAGAGGCAGGTGGATCTCTGAGTTTGAGGGCAGCCTGTGCTAAACAAAGAAACCCTATCTTGAAGGATCAAAACAACAAAATAAAAAATAAGGATAAAAAAGAAGTTAAGACAGAAAGATGAATCTGATGAGCCAGGAGCACACAGAGATCAGCTGCTGATAAGTTCTGTCAGGAACATTATGTTCTCTTTCTCCAGAGGAAGTCTGAAGCAACCAAGATGCTGGCGACTCTTCTGGCCGGTGAGTGTGCCTGGAGCTGCCTCGGGCTGGGGGCGGGGGAGGCGGGCAGCCTCAGAGGGACCTTCATGGGGCAGGTGAGAGCAAACTTAGGCTAGGGGATGTAAAACAGAGTTATTCTCTGAAATGGGTGTAGCCTGGGAAACAGAACATACTTGCAAGCTGTTACGCTTGGAGCTTTTATTTTCAAATAAAATTTTAAGTAATTTGTAAAAAACAGGCTGGAAGACGTAACACAACAGAAAACAAGCCACCGATGGGGGTCAGGGGATGATTCAATAAAGTTTATCTAATAGACATAATAGAAGACACAATAGAATTATTTGGCATACTGAGTATTAGGTTTATCTCTCTGCTCCTGCACAGCCGAAGAAAAAAGAACTACCAGCCAGTGTCAATGGGATTCCAAAAGCAGCATGGCGTGCTATTTCCTTTTCTGTTTCGTAGACAAGAGTCTCTCTAGGTAGTGTTGACCGGCCTTGAACTCTCAGAGATCCTTCTGCTTCCCTGAGTTCTAGGATTAAAGGTGTGGCCACCGCAACCAGCCTCACAGTATTGACTTCTTTACTGTCTTTTAGCTTCCAAAATGATTTAGAAATTAAGAGAAAAAACCACCACCACCACCAAAAACCCAGAAGTCACCTCCTTCCAAGCGTCACCCTGAGTAACTGCCGTCTATTGAGATCAAGGTGGTCTTGTGTGCACATGAGTTACGTTCATTTAAATGGCTGCTATTTGGGGAAGAGCCTTCTGTTACCCCGTTAAATGCTTGGCTCTGATGGTGATGAGGATGGTGGTGACCATGCTGGTGGTCATGATGAGCAGAGCCCCTTGCTCCATTTAGAGCAGTCCTGGATTTCGGGGACTGCTTGTTCAAAGGCAACTCTGCCATAGCAGGAAGGAACCACAGACAGTTGTTCTAACCACCGTCCTGGAACAGGAAGCACTGCTGAGCATCTAATCTCCTCACGCTTCTCCAGTGCCCACTGTTACCCCACATCCGAAGCCCTTTCCACCTGTATCCTCCTGTCGACAACTGTGCAGCTGTCAATCAGGAATCCACCGAGCGATGCGTGTCTTTAACCTCAGCACTCAGGAGGCAGAGGCAGGCAGATCTCTGAGTTTGAGGCCAGGCTTGGGGT